TGCTCTGGCTTACGGCCGTGGCCTCCGCGAGCACGGCCGGCACCAGAAGGAGCCCTGAGCAATCTCGGGCTGAGCTGGGGCGCTCGCGCCTTCGGCGCCATTCTCAGGAGCGGCATTGGGGCCGGGGAACTGGAAGCCGGATGTTGTACGCTTCTGTTGAGCGATGTCTGCAGCCTTCTTCGCGTCTGCGAGCGCCAAAGAGTGTCTACGCTGATGGCCACCACCGCCGGCGCCACCGCCGCGGCCGCGGCTGGCGCCGGCATTCTCACGACCCTGGGTGCCCTGGTTCTCGAAACTACCAAAGGCAGAGCCGGAGGCACCAGAGGAGGGAGCGGGAGGAGGTCCCATACCCATGTTGGGGAGGGCCGACTGGTTGCGGCGGTGGGCCATGGGCTGGGTGGGAGGAGCCAGATTCTGCTGAGGGATCTGTTGAGGGAACTGGAAGGCATTCTGGTGGTTCATGCCGGGCATGGCTGGCTGCAAGGGATTGAAAGCACCGCCGGGGCCGAGTTGTTGGGTCGGGGGGATCATGCCCATGTTCATGTATTGTTGCTGAGTAGCTTGAATCTGCTGCTGCTGCTGCTGCAGAAGCTCGATCTGCTGCTGGATAGCGAGTTGTTCCACTGCAGAATTGAAAGGTCCAGTCAGCATGTGCTACTCGAGGAGTGGTACACGGAAACACATGGAGGGGTGGTTCGGGGCCGTCGGATGACGCATGACGACTGGCGAGGATACAGCCGGTCATCAACGGATAAAACAAGAAGCAAGGGGCATCACTTACTGCCAGGGTTTTGGAACATGCTCACTAGCGGCGTCAGCTCCGAAGGGGCTTCTGCGGTGCGCAATGTGAAGCCTACGCCCCAGCAGGGCCGTGGACACCGCCTGTCGGCGGCGCCTGGGCCTGGGCCTGGGCCGGCTGCTGGGGCTGCTGCTGTTGCTGCTGCTGCTGGTCCATGTTGGATACGGCGCAGGAGTTGCACGTCGTGTGCGCGTGTTGGTAGTCGTCAGAGGTATCCTTGCTGGTTGGCAGTGGGGATGGGATTGCAGGTATGTGGGTTGTATGTGGTCTTGTTGGAAGACGTCGGTCGTCGAATTTATCTCGACGTATGGGTTTGAATGTCTAAGGACGGTGGAGGAGTGTGAGTGTGTACTCGTGCACACGGAGCGGTAGATGGGAGGGGGGATCCAAGGAGGGTGTAGATGGATGTACGGCAACTTGTGAGTTTGTGTTTGTCCAATCTTGCGTGGTCTGTCGGGTATGGCGGGAGGTCCAATGTAGGTAGGTAGGGAACGAGCTGGAGCTCTACAGAGTCAGAGCAAGGAGCGTGGAGAGACACGACAAGATGGGTAGGTAGATTTTTGGAGGGGTAGGTTCGAAGAGAGGGTCAGATGGATGATGTAGAAGGATGGATGGCCCTCTCTTGGAGAGACCGGGAGAGAGCTGTGTGGAAGCAGGATGGACGCTGCGATCGTGGGTGGTGAATTGTGAAGGCGAAGACGAGGGTGGAAGCAGAGGCAAGGTGGAGGGAAGGTTTGGATGTGGTCGTGGTTGCTGCAGCTGGGGGGGGGGGAAGTTGGGGTTAGGCCAGCAACAGCCCAGACCAGGTCCACCTGGGCGACTGGCACCCGGGCGGGCTAGGGCCGCCAAAAAGAGGAAGCCAAAAAGAGGAAGAAGGGGAGAGCAACAGCCCACCAAGCCTGGCCCGAGCACATTCATTGACCGGGCAGCACCTGCCCACCGGCGTGTCCACCAGAACCTACTGCCTTCCTGGGGACCTACCATACATGGGCAGGGACAGCCAGCTACAGCAACAGAACGGCAACAGCCTGCCAGCCAGCAGCAACGGCCAGGCTGGAAGCAAAGCACAGGGCATCCCGTGTTCCACCAACAGCTCCACCCCTGTGTCGAGCCCACCCGGTGCTCTGAACCGGATTGGGGGGATATATGGGCCTTGGGGGCGAGACTGGATCGCCCCCTTCCCCTGCCTGGGGCTATTGATTCGCCCCAGAGCTTACGGGGGGCGCACTACCTGGTAGCCCTCCCGAGACCCCAAGTGGAACTGCCGCCACTGACCGCCCGGGGTCGTGGCCCAAGTCCCTAGGTGCAGCGCTCCTTGAGTCTGAGCGGACATTATCTGCTTGTGGCTCGACGTCGTTCTTTCGGAAAAATGCTGATCGGGTAGCTCGGGGGGTTTGGTTCCATTGTTTGGAAGGATATGATTGCATACATGCTGTACGTATGTGGGTGCGGAAGTATTTGATGGTCAGTAGGTTGTTCCTAGTACAAGGCAGACACAAGAGTTTCCTGTTGGGTGGGCGACGGTTGTGTATG